AGAGAGATATGTTTTCGAAGCAGTGTTTTTTCCTTCCATGTGGTGAGCTGTGTCAATGTTCATATCATTTTCTAGTAGTGGGAGAGTTGCTGGGGAAGTTGGGCAGTTGAAGGAGATGGGATTCATGTTGGTATCTGGTGGCTTCGGAGGAACTGGGGATGAAGATGGAGATATTGTAGTTGAGGGTTTCATGGAGAAGCTCTTGTATCTTTTGGAGAGTTAGTTGTTGTTGTTGTTGTTGTTGTTGTTGTTGTTGTTGTTGTTGTTGTTGTTGTTATTATTATTATTATTATTATTATTATTATTATTATTATTACAACTACTATGCCACGTAATTGCTTTTTGAAGAGTTAACATGTCTTAGGGCATCTCCGAGGATGCACTATTTTTTGCACCAAATCTAAATTTGGTGTAAAATTTGGTATTTTTTGCTCCAATGGAACACCAAATCTTGCACCATTATAGTGCGTGAATAGTGTCGATTTGATTTAATATTATTTTATTCATCTTTTTGTTTTTTGGACTTTTAATTATCATATATTGTGTATATAATTAATTTTTATATTAAGATCTTTATAATTTTAATTTTATATCCTATTTTTTTGATATATTAATTTTTGTATATATTATATTTATATAAAATTATAGGTTAATTTATTATTATTATAATTGTATAAAAAGAAATATAACCATTATTTAAAAATGAAAAAAGCAAATGTAAGATATCTAATGTTGCTAAAATTAAAAAGTAAAAACTAAAATTTAAAAAAAAATTAACAATACATAAAATAAAAATACATTATAATTAAAAGTACATAAAATGAGGATACATTAAAATTGAAATTACATTAAAAAACATAAAACATAAGTTTAGTAATCCGCTATGTCATTTCCAGGTGCACCAAAATTACCAAAAAACTGAGAGAACGGGGGTAGAAGATTATTGTGCTTGTGGTTGTTGAAATAGTTGACATCTTTTATCGATTATTCGTTTTTGTTCTTGTCGCAAAAATTCACGAAGATTTGGATCGTCAATGGAATTCAAGTTCGTCAATAAACTTTTATCTTCTTTGTATTCTTTTTGTCTCGAAGCTTCATTTCTTGAGTTACTTGACTTTTCCATCGCCTCAACAAGCCGACTATTTTCCGATTGCATCATTTTCATGTAATCTTCATCAATTGGTCTCTTCAATTTTTCTTTCTTTACCCCAATAGGTCGTTGTGATAATGTGGCCTCACCGATTTGAATAATTTTTAGCTTGACACAAAAGAATTAAGGATAAAGATGCGCGTTTCGCACTTCGTAATGCATTAATCGAGCATTTATGGGAGAATAGAGGCGAAAGTTGAATATTTATGTGGTACTTAAATTAAATTTGACTATGATGTAATATTTATTTAATTATCTTTTATCAATGATTTCACTTTTAGTTGATTTATCCTTTAAAATAATTTTGTAAGAAATGATTATATAAGCGGTGAATGTGAACTATATGTGATGAATATGAAAAAAAAGAAAAAAAGATAGAATTTGTTTGAAGGAAATAAAAAATAAAATTTAAATAGAAGATAATAATATAATATAGAAGAGAGAAGAAATATTCTTTTTTAATGTAAAAAATGATGTAATGGTTGGAGTAAATTTGATGTTACATTATTTTGATGTAAAATTTGGTGTTAGGGTCAGAGATGGTCTTACGTCTCCATTATATATTATGTTTCTGGCACCCTATTTGTACATTTCAACAGAATAGTTACTACAAATCATGTGAGACGCATGTGTGATAATTTGCTAATGTTCAGATGTTACTTAGTAACTGATTGAAACAGTACCACGAGATTCCAAACTTCCAATCTAGTACAGAATTTTACAGTCCACAAGTTTGTTTGCTACTTGGCATCTATCAATTGCGTGGAAAGATTTCATTTTTGTTCACGCTACTTTGATCGATAACATAGTTGTGGACAACATTAATTGTATTAAACATAAATGGCCTACATAATATTGAGATACAAAAAGTAATTGTATTTCCAAATGCTATATACAATTACTATTTCACTGAGCATGCAAATCCGTTTGGCTATAGATTTTAGTTTTAAAATTTGAAATAATATTTGAAGATTGTTTCAAATAACTGGTTGTTCATTAAATAGTTATATTATTCAATTTCAAAATTGAAATGTAGAATTTGAAGTTTGAAAAATAGGTTTTAGGGGTCTTCAAGCTTTTTCAAGTTTTCACTTACAAAATTTCAAATTCATTTTCATATCCAAATCTAACTTCAACTCCCAAATACCTTTTTCTAACTTCAACATCGATACTATTTTTTTTTTTTGGAATTTTTACATTCCTCTGCCACATAGGAAACCTTATTACCCTCAATGTTTAAGGTTTGACTTAATTACACTTAGTATATTAAATTATCAATTCTATACCATAACTAATTAAGGGTATAATTAATTATACATTTTTTACTCCTTAATTAAAGGAATCTGTATATCCCAGTATCCCCACTCATCCCACGTTTCTCTCTCCTAACCTCTCAGCCCCACTCACGTTTTACCAATACCCACGTTCTTTTTACCATTTTCCATCTTCTGAAACCAAATTCTCCCTCTAAATTCACGTAAAATTGAAGAAACCCTTCAACAAAGTTGGTTCCCCATTCTACTCCAGTTGAAGTTCATCAATGAAGAACAACAAAGCTTCGAAACAAAGTCCTAAAAAATCAGCAGTAGCCGATATACCCTCATTTGATTTGGGTGTGTTATCACCAAAATCACCCAAAAAGCAAGGCAAATCTCCACATGCAATTGCAGAGACTACTCATAGTTCCTCTTCCCGACAAATCAGAGCCGAGATGAGAACCAAACAAAAACATGATGTAGATGTTGGAGAAACTTCTACACCAGGCAAACAAGTCAAACGAAAAGGAAAAGAGATTTTGGTAGACGACGACTTTGTAGAAGAGGTCCCTAATCTTCAAACAGGAAAGAAAGCAAAGGTGTCTCCTGGTTCGAAAAATCCAAAAATGAAGAAACATTCAAAAAAACACCCTAAAATTGTTCGGAACCAATCATTGGTGAAGGTAAACATTTATTAGTTTCGTTTCTAATCTTTTAGTTTGATTTAGGATGGTAAAATCTGTGTTATACGTTTTTTAGACAACTGTAGAGTAATTGTCTTAATTTTGAAGATTATTTGTAGTTGTGATGTTCTGCCTTTATAGTTGTAGATATTTTGTAGTTATATTGTTAGGTAACTTGTACAATTTGAAGCAGAATTGTAGTTATCTTTTGTTGCTGCCTTTTTGTAGAAAATGCTTTAAATTGTAGATATTATGCAATCATTTGTAGTTATGTTGTAGATAAAATGTAGATGAATGTATCCTTTTTATGCATTTTATTAATGTGAAATAATTTATTATTTGTGCAGAATGGACACTTTTTTGCCCCACATAATGTTGATTATGGGGTGCTTAGATTCCACACTTTGTGTGATCCTAGCATTCCTAGCCAGATTAAAGAGCTTCTATCCTCAAATGGGTTGAAGCTTTTCAAAAAGACGTGTTTTGGATACTTACTGTCTCTTCCCACCATATGCATGCAAAACCAAGCCATTCATCTTCTGATGAAGTATGAATTGACCAAATCAAATGCATCATATTTTTCTGTACAGTTAAAGGGTGAAACATTAAATTTTGGATTGAGTGAGTTTGCATTAATTACTGGTCTAAGATGTGTTACCCAGGTTACTGATTTTGGTTATACTCCCACTTATGTTAGCAAAATAATGAGCAGTTATTTTCCTAACAAATTAAGAGTGGAGAAGTTTTATTTGAAACAGATAGTAACCACTAGATCCTGGGTAAACGATGAGGATGCGGTGAAGTTGTGCATCCTTTATCTTTTAGAATTTTTCATTTGTCCTTCGGACAAAGATCATGTTACCTACCCTCTTAACATATCGAGAAACCTATTACCGACCCTCTTAACATTCAGTGGATCGTTGGATAGATTCCATAGGAAAAAGAAGGATCACTGTAAAAAATCTATTCTCTCTTTCTATGCATTTAATTCTTTTTTTATTTCTAATCATTTGGTAAATATTTAAAAAAAAATTGTGTTCTGCAGCGATTGTGGTGTATTTGTTGCTGCCTTTGCGGAGTATGTTAGCCTTGGAGATTTGTCAATTCCCGCAGAAGACCTTTCTGATATTGACCAACATCGTAGACGCTATGGAGCGCTCCTATGGGACTATGATACAAAGAAGCAGGAAGATGGGTCAATCAGTGAAAGTGAGGTTACAGGCAGACTAGCAAGGAGGAAGGGTGCACCTGCATTGAATGAGAAAACAAGAGTCCAAAGAAAGAAGAAGTAGTGTCATGTATATGTAATTTAGTTGATGCTAGTTTGTAGGAGAAGTATAGTACACAACTTTCTGAACAATTCATTTGTGTTTTTATTGTAGCTGACCTTTTGTTTTGTTAATTTCTATCCAGTTTAGTAGTTCACTTGAAAATAACTTGGTGGTTTTATCTCCAGTTGTTTAATATTTACAACACTTGGTCTTCATTATCTTAAACGTAGTTATTATGTTGTTAGAATACAAATTATCTACAAAAAATCTTCAAATTATCTACAATCTGGAAACACTGAATGTTGAGATTGTATATAATTTTATAGTTGAATATGTATATAATTTGTAGGGAATACCTCCACTTGTATTTAATTTCTGTATATAACTGTCAGTTCAAGTTAAATTAATCTTTTTTAACTTGTAGTTATATTGTAGATAATAAATATTAACTACTATGTACAGAATGTCAAAAATGGAGGTAGATGCTTGACACAATACAAAAAAACATGTTAACAAACACAGAAACAAATTGAAATTAACTACATTATGATCTTTAAAAACTTAAACGATTACATACAAAATTCTGTTAACTTGAACACACTAACAATTATTTTGAAATACTATTCTAACTACATGATATTTATTTCTTTTTGGGCGCATTCTTGCAAGATCTTTTGTTATGCCCTTCACCTCCGCAGTTGCCACATGACACCTTGTACTTCTTTGACTTTAGTTCATCATATGTTTTGTATCTTTCCTTTTGAGGTCTTCCTGGCTGTCTTTTCTCTCCCGTAGGTGGATTTACTACTTTATCAGATATATGTTGTGGCACATTCCATTTGCTTTCATCAGGAAGGGGATTTACTGGTATTTCATACGTACGCAGTAGGCTCTCCTTTGTGCAATACGGAGAGCAATAGTTTTCATAAGTTTCATTCCTGTGCCTTAAAGCTGCCAAAGCATGCGCACATGGAAGTTCATCAAGTTGGAACTGGCCACAGCTACATTTCTTGCTTTCAAGACACACAATGTACCGCTTCACACCATCTATCACGGTATGGATATGATCTGTTGAAGCCCTCACCTACAATTACATAACAAACAGAAAGAAAAATATTTACAATCATAAAATAGATTATATATAAATTATCTACAATCTACAAATTAACTACAATTTGTCTACAATTTATCTACAATCTGGAAACACTGTATATTAAAATATTATTTTTCTGCACCAAATAAGCACATCTTACCCTAAGTTTCTGAGATAATGTTCTGTTGTTCTCCAATTCTTTGTTGAATTTGGACCCAAGGAATGTGAAAGTACCCTTTGCCTTCAATAACTTCTCGTTCGTCCAACGTTCAAGAAGTGTCCTCATATACTCTAATAGGTCAAATATTGGCAGCTCACTTGCATCTTTTGTTACAACATTCGATGACTCTGCAATGTTTGATGTCATAGTCCAAGTTCTATTCACTGTTGCATGTACTCTTGACCATCTATGATAGCCAATATCATAGAGGTGTGATTTAACACGTGGGTCTATCTCTTCAATCTTCGACATTCTTTCATTAAATTCATCCAGAGTGTATGACCGTGTTGTAGCAAAGTACAATTCATTTAATTGTAGATGACCCTTCTTGAACTTTGCCCTTATATTTGTCCAAATATGCCACATGCAAGAGTAGTGTGGCACGCCCGGATAGACAATTGATGTTGCCTTCAGGATACTCTCATTCCTATCTGAAACAACACATATTTAAGTTCTTTCACCATATGCTTGCTTGAATTGCTCAAAAAACCACTTCCACGATGCGTCGTTTTCCGAATCAACCACAGCATATGCCAAAGGCAATTGTACCTACATTATTAGTCAAAAAATAATTAACTGGCAGCTTTGAAAATGCATATAAAAACACAAATACATATAAACTACAATATATCTATAAAGTATCTACAATGTATTTACAATTTATAAACTGCCTACAAAATAACTACAATTTTACCTACTGCATCCATTGTGCTTGCTGTCAGCATAATCCCCCTGTAGGCTGACTTTAAGAATGTCCCATCAACCACTACTACTGGTCTACAATATTCCCAACCACTTATTGATGTACAAAGAGCAACAAATGCATATAAGAAGCATTCATATGTTGTCTTCTTCAATTTAACAGCTGAACCAGGATACGTCTTCTCAAGAATATAAAAATATTTTGGTAATTTGCTGTAGGAGTCAGCCGGATGACCTCTCAAAAACTGTAAAGCCTTTTCCTTTGCTCTCCATGCTTGCATGTAGCTTAGGTTCACTCCGTGTTGGGACAACATGTCAGTTTGTATGTCCTTTGGTGTGTAAACTGTCTTAGGATCACAATACTTTGGAATGACCATGTTACCAACTACAACTGCAGTACGTTTACGCTGTATGAATGTATCGTCCATTAAGGTGCATGTGTGTTGTCGGTTGAAACTCCTGATCTTGAACAATGCAGAATCATTAATTGATATTGCCTTGAAGTACCAATTACAGTTTTCTCCAACGCATATAAGCCAGTAGCTACAAAAAAATACATTTATAATACAGGTTATCAATGTAGAGGTAACAAAATGACTGTTTTAACATAAAATAACACATTATACAATATAACTACTTTTCATCTACAATGTTTGAAAAACACATATCACAAGGAAAATACTGTTTATAATGATCTTTTCACCATTAATATCTTCATACCTTCTGTGGCTAGATCTTTTAACCCTGAATTGGTACTTGTGCATGACAGAATAGTGCTTCATTGCAGTTGCAATTGTTTGCTTGTCTTGATACACTTGTCCTTCTTCGATAACACTTTGTGTACCTTCAGTTATTATTTCACTTTGATATTCCTCTATGACGGGAGAGGCTGGCATATCAAGTAACTTTATTGTCCCAGACGAACCTGCATGAAAATAAAGATAAACAGTGTCATTACAATTTTGTAGAATCTTTGTAGATGAATTGTAAATGAAGAGAAAAAATTTGTAGTCAACATTTTTCCCCACATAGATTGTAGTTTAATTATAGTATAAATGTAGTAATTATGTAGATAACCATGAAAACAATATTGCTTTATACATCTAAAACTGATGTGTAGTTTATTTGTAGATAAATATAGGAATTTTATAAATATTACCGTAAAATCAGACTTCCATAGAATTTGAAACATAACAAACCTGCACTTGTGTTCTCATTGGTAACAGTCAATTCCATATTGAAATCTCGTACACTTATAAATAACGGATACAATCCTAAGTTTTTATTCTCCTTTTTTGTCTCAATAAACACACGAACCCCCATATCGTTCCTAATCTCCATTGGAGGACAATTCTCATTCACAATGTATTTGATTTCTATAATTTTTTCCGAAGTATCAATCATTAATTGCTCTGCAATTGTAGAAATCAACATACTGTAACTTGCATCCTCATCGAGCACAATGCCATCAACTTGAAAATCTCTAAATCTTCCATAGCTATCCCAATTCCCATTTAATTGTAGCATGATTGGGATTTTGGACATGATTGCGTGTCGTTGCTGAGGTATTGTTCAATATTTTGTCGCTTTTTTGATTTTTTGGATTAAGAAAGACGAAGAACAGAGTATCGGCAGAATTGATTTCTACAATTTGACTTGAATTTGTTGAATATTTTATCGCTTTTTGATCAGTGGATTGAGGAAAAAAGTCGACGAACTGAGATTTTGCAGAACTGATTTCTACAATTTGATTCGAATTTATTGACGATTTTGTCTTTTTTTAATTTGTGGCTTAAGGAAAAATATTGAAGAACAGAGTTTTTGCAGAAAAGAGTCTATGTAATTTGATTTTAAATTGAAGATAAAGGATTTCCGTTTCAAATTTGATCTGAAAGTCGCTAAATCAATTAGAATATTCTGTTCCTGATTTGTAGCGCGCCTAATTAGGAAGATTCAACTACTAATAATTAATATTTAATGAATGGTATAATAATTGTAGAAAAAGTGTGAACATGGCGGGTAAATTAGAAACTATGCACATATTTGGTAATAAAGTTTCATATATGGTATAGGAAGGAAAAAATCCCATTTTTTCCTTCAAATTTCAACCAAATCATATATGTTGAGCTAAAACGGCCCAAATATACTCTTACTATGACGAGATATTATCCGCTTTGGGCTAAACCCTCACGATTTTTTTCAAAAGACCTTGCAACATTAAGAGACCCCTACACATTATATGTAGACTCCTGATCTTTTCAGCTACCAATGTGGGAACTTTGTTCGTACACCCAACATTATCCAAATACTAACATCAGACAATTTTATCCTATCTTTCTTAGACAAATTAATTAGTGAAAGTTTTCAGTTGTGAGTTGTTTTAACGCATTTTAGGACATCTTTCTTTTTCCCCAAGACAATTTAATCCTATCCTTGTTAGACAAATTAGTGCAAGTTTTCATTTGTGAGTTGTTTTAACTCATTTTAGGACATGGTTTTTCCGCAATACAATTTAATCCTATCATGATTAGACATATGCCACCTTGTATATGTCATAGGAAGTGATATATAGTAGGCACTAAAGAATACTTATCCAATATCTGACCTGTTTCAATATACAAATGAGTGGTATGGCCTTTTGGTGATCCAAATCAATCACACCGCAGTGTATGCCAATTTGAAATAAGTGTATCGCCTCTATTTCCAACTCTAATTAATGGAAGTCAACTAGACAGAAAAGAAAAATTAATGTACGGAAGTTAATTAAACATATCTCAATTAAATTGTGACTCTTAAAATGAAAGTTCTTGATTTTATACGTGTAATAACTACATGTAATTAAGTTTTCTCTCAAAAGGATAAAAGTGAATGATCTAAGGTTCAAATAACGAAGCGACTCATGTACCACTTCATTTCTTCCTCCAATCTATAATCCTCCCTCATAGTTAACTTTGTACTCTCTCCGGTCCACTTTAATTAATTTTTTTGTTGTTTTCATACATATTAAAGAATTTAAATTTTATTATTAATTAATCATCCCTCCGGTCCAAAATAAGTAATTTTTTGATTGTTTTCACACATATTAAGAAACTCAACTTTTAACATTAATTAGCAATAAAATTGACCATACTAACCTTTACTAGCTCTTCACATAAATACTCCTAACATATACTTCAACATTATTTACTCCAAGCGCAATGTAGGGAAAAAAATAATTAATTCAGTCTTGAAATCTGGAAAAATTACTTATTTTGGACCACAAAAAAAAAAGCCAAAAAATCACTTATTATGGACCGGAGGGAGTAATAATTGACCATGTTAACTTTAATTTGTTCATTGAAAATATCACAAATATTCCTAGGATAGTTATTTCAAGGGCAACTTTAAAAAAAAATTAATTTATTTTTGATATCTGAAAAAAATTAAATATATAGATAAAAAAAAAAAGAGCTGCTATTCGGCCAAACTCAGCGTGGCCCAAAAATGACCACACTGGTGAAATACCACTAAAGCCCTTCATTTTATATTTGGCTTAATGGCCATTTTTCCCTCCAAAATTAGTTAATAAATATTGATTATCCCAAAACATTGGTCCCATAAATCATCATTCTCTCATGGGAAGATCAACCAACTTCATATGTATACCTATACTATTATGTATTTATTTTATTTTTAAATAAAATTTATACGGATAGGAAGATCAAAAGCCTTCGTATATGTATACCTATACTATTACGTATTTTTTTTAAAATATAATTTATACGATGGGAAGATCAAAAGTCTAGTATCTATACATAATATTATTTTTTATACTGTATACGAACTTATACCATGCACTTATGTTAAGAAAGCCTTCATTAAACGCATAATTTACCACCCTTCCCCTAATCTAAACATTAATGCTAACCTAGAAACTAGTTTGGAGCCATTAAACATGGAAAATAAAACATACATTGTTTGTAACATATTTTTACGAATATTCAAAGAATAATGCATATTCTTTGAACAGAAAGCTAAAAAATAGATACATAAAAATGTTTACGAATATTTTTAAGATACAAAAATACATTGAAGAATACTTGGAAAATATATTTACGAATATTCAAAGAATAATGCATATTCTTTGAAGAGAAAACTAAAAAAAGATATAAAAATGATATAGCCCGTTGATGAGGTAGTTGTCAAATAGCCGTTTATATAATAGCCGTTTATAATAAGGTCATTCGTATCGACCTATAGCTACCATATAAGTCCATTGACTAATATGGTTGTAGTCATATAACCTATGCTAATTATATCGTTGTGATTCATAGTAATATTGACCGCTTGTATAATAGCCGGTTATATAAATTTCATTCATTAAGGTCATTCGTATCGGCCTATAGAAACCATATAAATCCATTGACTAATATGGTTGTAGTCATATAACCTATGCTAATTATATCGTTGTGATTTCATAGTAATATCGGTTACGACTTAGTATAACTTAGCCGTTCTTAATANCCTCCCCCGGCCTGGGATGTGGCTGCAGCAAAGGGGAAGCAACCCCGCCTGAGCCAAGGTGGTGTACATGCTCATGAACTGAGCCAAAGTCTCCTGGAGCGCTGGAGTAGTAGTGGCAGTAGTAGGTGTGCCAGGTGCCTGGGCTCCGGCTGGATCTGCTGGTGGTACCTCGGCGGCAGCTCGCGCAGGTGCTCTGGCTGTACCACGTGCGCATCCTCGACCTCTCCCCCGACCCCGGCCTCTGACGGCTGCAGTAGGGGGCGCGGGTGCCTGATCATCTCGAGTAGCACGTGTCCTCACCATCTGTGAGAGAATAAAAGTCAGAAGTTTAGAATTGATGTCCAAAATATCGCACGATGAGGAATTCAAATGAAATGAAGATTTTTCCTAACAGTTACATAGCCCCTCGTAGATAAGTACAGACGTCTCCGTACCGATCAGCGAGACCCTAATAAACCGGCTTGTGTTCCGTGACTCCAATGAACCTAGAGCTCTGATCCCAACTTGTCACGACCCCAGTTCACCCTCCATGAACATGTCGTGATGGCACCAAGTTCCTACAACTAGGTAAGCCTAACAGTACGGAATAACAAATTAACATTTGCGGAATAATAATTTAAAACTGAACATACGGAAATAACAACTGTATATGAGGCCACTCAGCCTATACAACTCAAAATATGCGGAAATCTGCAACTAAATCCCAAAACCCGAAAACTCACGGGAAACACAGGCTAATAGAATGTAGTAAACTGCTCTACACCAGAATGTCTAAACAACATGAAAGGAAAGAAAAGGAACTATCTGCTAAAGCCGGAATAGAGTAGAGACTCCTGGTCTGCGAACGTAGCAGATATACCTCAAGTCTCAGCTAGGACTCTCCACCACGAGGATGATACGTCTGGGAGGAAGTACCTGGATCTGCACATGAAAAACATGCGCAGGAAGGGCATGAGTACACCACAGCGGTACTCAGTAAGTGCCAAGCCTAACCTCGGTTGGGTAGTGACGAGGAAGGTCAGGGCCCTACTGAGATAACATAATAAATAATGAGATAACAGAAATAGTTTAAATAAAGTCTACAGCGAGAATCTAAACCAGGTAAATAAGGAAGAACAGTAATAGAAAGCAAAGGTAACAATACACGAAAAACTGCCCTCACAAGGAATAGTAGCCGGGAGATCTCTTGGTATCCCAAGGATCTCTTGGTATCCTCATCATTAACACCGGGGATCTCTCGGTATCCCGAGGATCTCGTAGTATCCTCAATAAGTGAGTCGGGGATCTCTTAGTATCCCGAGGATCTCTTGGTATACTCAATAAGTAAACCGGGGATCTCTTGGTATCCCAATATATATATATATATATATAGAAACACATGTGCCAGGGATTTCTTGGTATCCCGCACCCTCAGTCCAGAATATCTCAAGTACAGAGGGATCTCCCAGGAAGTCGTCTCGTAGTCCCAAATTAAACACACAACAACAACAATTCCTAAATCTTGGAACAATGCTAAAAATCAGGACACGAAGTAGTAAATTATAGCCTAACATGATTCACAGAGTACAAATAGCACAGTTAAGGCAAATAATCAGGTAAGCCAGCTAAACATGAGTCTCTAAGCTAGAATAGGTACAAACTTGCAGTTAAAATAATCAAGTAAACAAGACAGCTCAATTTAAATACTTCAAGTAGAAACGAATTTACAACAATTAGCTCAAGTACGCGCTCGTCACCTCACGTACAGGGCATTCAAATATTCAAGATCATATCCTAAGGGAAAAAGGTCCCCCACACAAAGTTAGACAAGCCACTTACCTCGAACCAGCTCAATATCAACTAGAAGTCACGTTCTTGCCACGAGTATCAGACTCCAAATGGCACAAATCTATTCGATTCAATTACACATTGTAAATAACATCGCAAACACCTGGTTTTGCTAATAAATTCAAAGCTACGGCGTAAAATTAGGTGAAATGACCAAAATGCCCTCCGGGCCAATGCCCCGGAATTGAATAATTTCTATATTTTCAGAACCCTCG